GGATTAATTGGATTCCGTTTTTATCGAGCTGTTTTTATTTATTTATTCATATGGTGAAGCATTGGTGTGGTGTTATGTATAACGGCTCAGGATTAGAAAAAGAAGAGCCGAGTTCGAATTCCAGTCTGGTTCGCTAAAATTATTTACTTGGGAAAGGTATGAATCAATCTCTTTCACCCCTACGCCCATCCTCGCTATGGGTCGAATAGCAGGACAGATACAGTTCTACTGCCTTGGTTGGCAACCATCTACATATAAAGCAACGGCAACATACTACAGAAGAAATCTTAATGAAAAGAAAGAAACATGATTGCCTAAATGTGTACAACATATGGCACTTGTCTGACTGAATCAACTGATAAAATATTGAAAAAAAAAAAATTAAACAGAAAACTTAAACAATCTTAGCTTCCATAGCTTCAGTCAGTTAAGTGCCATGCGTGATACACGCTTAGGCGATCTTATATCTTTTGATACCTGACTGACGAGGCAGTTTTTTTTACTCGCAGTAGCTTACCATTTCTTTCTGCGGTAGACCAGTTGCCATCCAAGGCTATAGAACCCGGTCTGTCCTCCTATTTACCCATAGCTGGGGATAGAAAGTTAGTTATGTGCCATGCGTGATACACGCTTAGGCGATCATACATCTTTTGATACATGACTGACGAGGCAGTTTTTTTTTACCCACAGTAGCTTGCCATTTCTTTCTGCGGTAGACCAGTTACCACCCAAGGCTATAGAACCTGGTCTATCCTGCTATTTACCCATAGCTGGGGGGTGAGGTAGAAGTGGATTCATACCTTTCCCAAGGGTATTAGTACGTAACAGACTAAAATACACCATAAATCCTTTTCTAAAAGAATCCAAGTTTAAGAAACCATGGTATTCGAAACTTTCCCAATTCCAACTCGTCCATTTTCAGAGTGAAGCGCAAGAGCCACTCATGGAAGAGGCTTACTGAATGATTCGTGCCATAGAATTAAGAGGAGAAGGTTGGAAGTAAATATTATAAAGATATGTAAAATAGATATTGATTGAATCTAGACTTAAAGACGTTAAGATTATAGTGTTCAGGAGAGCATACACGAGGGAGCCTGTTCACTAAATTAGCGATTCTTGAATAGAACGCCGTCTTGGGTATGACGATAAACTATATCCGTGTCCTGGGTAAGACGATAAACTACATCCAGCAGCAAGGCCTCTGATCAGGAGGTTTTGAGGAGCGTGGAACCACCTCTTAATCGCTTGTGTTCCCAGGTTCACCTTGACCCGGGGTGGTAGCACCTGTTAGGGTCCCAGCTATGGGTAAATAGTTAACCCCTAAACTGGGGTCAAAACATTATGAAAGTGTAAAAATAAGTTTAATACCAGAAATACTTTGTAAAAAAAATATTACCAGCAATATATTTAAAAAAAAATTACCAGCCATACATTTTTGAAGAAAAGAATATTACCAGGAATTTAAATTTTTCGGCATTAAGTGGTTGATTTGCCGTAAAACAAAATAAACCAGACTTGAGTAGAACATCCTTCTTGGCAACGCAATGCGGGAAAGAGGTCTGAATTGATGTCGCTAAAGTGTAGAGCCAATTTGAACATTTGCCATGAAAGTAGCGATAGCTTTGCAACATTTCGTCTGTGAGGAACAAAATGCATTGTGAAAAAAGGTCACGTAAATAAATGATTTTGAATGTTGTCATTGCTGGAAGGCGATCGCTGGGTATGGCAGGAATATGTCATTTTAGGTCTGACCCGACTCTTGTAAAAAGAAAAGGTTGAGAACTACAGCTTTATTTGGACTTGTAAATTTAAAGCATGGCAGGTCATGTATTCTCTGGTGCTGTACAATGTACTTCAGCATGTTTGGTGATGAATCTCTATCTATAAAAGGCAGGATGTTTGTGTGTGTGTGTGTGTGTGTGTGTGTGTGTGTGTGTGTGTAACGAATGCACGGCCGCAATTTTCGACGGATTTGCTCCAAAATTTACATGCACATGCTCCAAGTTAGCAAGAAGGCCAAGACCGACTTTGCATTTCCCAACTCCCATCGATAGTGGAAATAATCGATCTTTTCATGCTTCTACGGAAGTTTTCATGTACTTTGCGGCCATTGTCTACTGGCCAGAGTGAGAGCCTATAGCTGGCTGCCACGAATAGGCAGGAAGATTCTATTGGCCAGCGTGAGAGCCAACAGCTGACTGACACGAATGTTAACTAGTATGCAAAAAAAATCGATAGCTGCATTCGTCACAAGTGGGAAAAATTTAAATCTGCATGGCACTTTACTCCAATTGGCTCATTCGCTTGCTTAAACTCAACGTTGATTCTGATTCCGCAGAACTGGTTTGGGTATGAAAAAGTATTTGTTGTTAACATTCTTTTTTCATTCGGTTTTTCCAGCTTTTTTAAAGCTGATCGTTTTGTGTTCATTTTGTTTAGTTCTTTTTTCGTAACAGATTTAATGTTTAGTATAGAGCTTAGAAAAAAATTGCAGTGTGAGATAGGCAAGAAGTAAGGCATGTAGCAACATCAGCACGACAAAGGGCATTCCTTTAAAGGCAAGGAAGGGCAAAAATATTTTAAGTCAAGTGATAGCGATTGCTGTATGAGTCGTACGATTTTTGAATCAAGCACTGGCATCGCCGGGCCATGCTGCTAGTCGTATATATGTGTTCAAGTTGGGAAGTCAGCTTCAATCCAAAGAGACGAACGGTTCTTAACCTTTTTTGGCCCATGCAACTTTTTCACAAGATTTGGACAAAAAACTCAAAAGGTGCATTAGCCATTTTAAAAACGTCCCTCCTCTTTTCCTCACCCTGTATATAACTGTGCTAGTCAGCCAGTAACACTTCTTTTAATTTCTGGCCATTGACAATCTAATTTTATCTGATTCACAAAATATTTGATGCATTCTAATTTTACATATAAGTAGCCAATTCCGTGATTAATTCTTCATCTCTAGTAATTTCTGATTTTTTTTTTTTGAGATTCAAGGTAAAATATTTAGACTAAACGCTAAAAATTTGCGGCCAAAATTATATAGATGTATCACAAGGCCGAAAATATGGAGCAGTCAGTCCTAATTGTTCTAGCAAGACAAGCTTGATAACCATTACACCGCCTCGAGGTGCCCACGGCCAAAATTATATAAGAATATGGTGATTAATCATCCAGTTTTGTCTGATACCAGAAATTCTCTCTCTCTCTCTCTCTCTCTCTCGCTCTCTCTCTCTCTCTCTCTCTCTCTCTCTCTCTCTCTTATATATTAAAAAGAAGAAAGAAATTGCAAACGTTTTTGGTTGTAATGTGGATTTTTTTTTAATATATTATGCTTTATTTTCCATAATTTTGCTACACGTCTTTCCGGTCTCGCGACCATCATCAGGCAAAGAGTGGCTATTTCCGCATACTATTAAAAAGAATTATTTTTTCTTATGTTTTTCGATGTTAAATATTCTCGATATTAGACATTCTGTTTTTGTGTGTTAGTGACTCAAATGTCTTCCTTGAACTGGCAGTGAAAAAGTTCTGCGTAATGGGTACTAAAACAATTAAGATTGGTCTGAGAAAGGGTGAGACATATATCTAAATTCATATCTTTTAATGACCCATGTGTGTTCTTAGAGCTATTTCCATTTTTTGTGTGTTTTTGTCAGCATGCGTATGTATACGCATATTTCCTCTCCATACATACATACTGTCTTACTATAAAGAATTGGTATACACATATGTACACATATACATATACATGCACATACACATACACACAAACACGCACTTCTTATGCTGTGTAGGGTTCGCGTGTGTGCCCGTGTGCAGTCTTGTTTTTATATATATATATATATATATATATATATATATATATACGGAGACGTGACCAAGTGGTTAGAAAGTTCGCTTTCTGACCAGGTGTTATGCCATAGTACCTATTCTATTGTAATGGACTCTCCCATAGATAATAAGTAGGAGGCAGTGGCAAGTCTGGAGAATGGTGTTGAGCGGTCTTTGACTGCGAACGCCTCCTGTCGAACTCTCTGCGTTAGCAGAGAGGAACCAGACGAGGCTTTGGAAGGGAAGGGTTTCGTGGTAGACACAGGGCCTGAACCCGTCTAATCGGCTTCAAAGGCTATTTTTTGGCCGAGCCTACGGGCTCGGGGAAACCCACATAAAAAAACGGCCTTGTGCCATATTCTTTTCCGTGGGTGAAAAGATAAATACCGAATGGTGTTGAGCGCGTCGTCGAGAGTCGGACATTTGAAGTACCAACCATCACAACTAAATTTGCTGCGCCATTGACTCTTATTTTTCAAGTTCCTAACGTTTTGTACGTCGGACCTAATTTAGGACGACTTATTAGAAATACAAGCCTCCACTGTGAAAATACTCCACAACACCAGGAGACCCGGATTCGAATCTCACCATGGTCGATTTGTCAGGATGATGACTTCCTGATGTTATCGGGTTCGATCCCAGCCTGCAGCACATTAGGAAAGTGCCTGAAAAAAACCATACCAAAGGTTGACCCAAGCCTTCTGAATGTAATTGGGTAGATGGAACTCTTGGAGGGCGCGTCGATAACTATGCTAGCACAAAGCCACGAGGGCCTGAGCGTACTGGCCTTGTTCAAATTGTTGATCACGTTAGATAACACGCTCTCTCCCAGAAGCTGTAACTAAGATTTGCTCAGCATTTTTGCAGTATAAACCACAGATAAGTTCTGTGGGTGTTGAGCAAACACAATTGTTCGTGAGCGTTTGTCTGCAGTAGGGATTGGCTACCCTCCCTATTAGACATGTATTCTCGAATACGAGTGGCCAGCTCTCTCTCTCTCTATATATCTATATATATATATATATATATATATATATATATATATATAGTGAATTTCTATGTATGTGGGTGGGCTGTCTGTATGTCTTTGTGGGAAGAGCGAGAAGAAGCAACAAAATCGTAGGTGAATAGAGGCAGAGGGCGAGGTGATAAAAAAAAGGATGTTTAACTTTTTTGAAAGAAAAAAAGAATGAAAAAAAACCGTGATGAAATGAAAAAATGGAGAACAAAGAAAGAACGAAAGAAATACCTGAAGGAAGAAAATGAAAGAACGAAAAAAGTCTGGCAGTAAAAGAAAGAAAGGAAAAACATCTGTAGAAGAACGAAGCAAAGAAATTTCAAATGTTAACAATAAAAAAAAAGAAAGAAGAAAATATTAAAAAATTAACAAGAAGAAAGAAATCATTTAAGTGTAATCACAAAGAAAGAAAGAAAGATGGAAAATCGGGAAGAAATGGGAAATGGAAAGAAAAAGAAAGATCGAAAGAAAAGTCTGGATTAGAACGTAAGAAAGAAATTTCAAAAGTTAACAATAAAATAAGAAATATTAAAAAAAAGATAACATGAAAGAAATTATTTAACGATAATCACAAAGAAAGAATGAAGGAAAGATAGAAATATGAAAAAGAATAACTGAAAATAAAAAAAAAAGTATTAAAAAAATTGACAAGAAATTAGGAAAAAAGATGAGAATAAGAAATGAAAGTCTGAAACGAAAGACAGTGCAAGAAGCAGCCATGTTTTGTTGAAGGGCCCCATTCCAGATAAAGCAATTGTGCTGTTAATCATTCAGCCACCGACTCACACCTCATTTCTGCTGCTCCGTCGAGTGGAAATATTCTTTACATCTGTTCGGGCGAACGAAACATTTAACCGCCATTGCAATACACACACATACACATACACACACATACACATACATACACACTACGGCTATAGCAAATACTACTACTACTACAACTACTCTTATTGGTGTTTTACATATTCGCATATGAAGTTAATTTCATATTATCAAGTATTATATAAACTTCATTTTTTAATCAATTCTCCCCAAGCAAGGCGATAATGCCACTAAGACGCAAGGGACTACGTGGAGTGAAAGAGAATGCAAAAAACTTTTGAAAGAATCGGAAACCCAATCTTAAACAGGGAACAAGGGATAAACCTCTACTTTTGTGCAGTGGCCGGGGAGGAGAGTGAACCGGATGATAAGGAGAAAAAGAAAAAATATATAAAAACATGGAAAAAAATAATTAAAGAATTTAGACGGCGGCGTTAGAAGTATAGCGTTGAGGTAGACTATGGAAGAAATGGAAAACTAATCCTACATAAGAAATAAACGAGAAACCTCTACTACTACTATTATTATTATTATTATTATTGTCATGGGTCCTTACCTATAACTACAGAATGAACTCTTCCTAACACTATGTATACTACGCCTCTCAAGCGAGAGGGTCGAATCGAGTCGAGCCGATAGTAGTTCACTCCAAACCAGACTGACAGTCATACTAACACCTTCCACATCTTGTATTATTATTTCGTGTAATATACCTTCGTTATTTCTACTCTTGTCTTCGTGTTGTTCTTCCTTGGTCCTAACCTGGACCATAACAATTATTATTATTATTATTATTATTATTATTATTATTATCATTTCCTCTGATTTCTGTTTTATATGCATTTCCTTCCGGGTCCCAACCAGAAACCTAAGGTCAGAAATGGCCTCATGACATTTTCCACTGATCGTTTTCGTAAAAAAACAAAAAACCTAAGATGACATATTTTACATCGATAAAACTCTTCGTAAAGTGTGTGCTGTACTTATGAATACATTTTTTTTTTTTGGTATTTCTTTAAGGCATGAGCTATCAGGAATCCTTTCAATGAGTCTATCGGTACCTTTTCCAATCAATCCGAAGGCTCCAACTACAACCAGAATTATTGATGTCCTCATCTGCCATATTTTTGAGATTTCTAATTAAAGTTACTTGTATTTTGATTACAATCTTCAGGGACTGCCATGTCAATCAGAAAGCACATTCTGTTCTTGTGGCCTTTGATCGCCAAGTCTGGGCGATTAGATTATATTGTTCTGTCTGTGTCTATTGTAAAGGCCCCCAAAAAATTGTTACAGGTCCTGTGTCTATAACCGGGTCTGGATAATGTTCATACCAGTTTCTTACAGTTTCCTTCACTCAAATGTTCTAGTGTAAATATTGGCTCAATGTATAATGCCAATTTTTTTTTATTATTATTATTTTATTTCCTTTGATTTCTGATGTGTACTCATTTCTTTCCGGGTCCCGCCCAGGGACCTAAGGTTAGAAATGGCATCATGACATTTTCCACTGGAAAAAAATGTTACATAGACAAAGCCCTTCTTAAGTTGTGGGCTCTACTCGTGAGAACAATTTTTTGTATTTCTTCAAGGCATTGGCTTCCAGGAATCCCTTCAATTAATCTACTGGAATCTTTTCCAACCAATCCGAGGGCTCCAACTACAACGGGTATTGTTGATGTTCCATTATTATTATTATTATTATTATTATTATTTCTTCTCTTTGTTATTGTTGCTTTTTATTACAACACTTATTCTATAATTCTTTATCATGACTTATTTTGTGACACCTTTTTTTTTTGCTATATGTATTGTTGAAACTTGACTAA